TGGCAAAAATCAGATTTTCCCCATTGAACAGCTGTAGCCCAAAAATTCTTCAACTTGTTGTCGATAAAACCTGTGAGAGTTCTTGGCTCCAACGAAAAGAAAAACTTCAGTGTGAAGCAGCAGTCTGGAGAGTAAATCCGGATTCTGAACCCTCTGCTCTCGGCCTCATCAGGGCTGCAGTTCTCTCCAAACACTGACGCTCTTCACCGTCTCCTCTCCCCAAGAGAACAAACGCTGTCCTTGAGGCACAAACCCGAATATCAGCAAGTGCTTCTGCTTTTTACAGGAAGATTCCTCTTTTTGTAGTTTTAAATTCTTGTGAAAGATTCTCCCTGCAGCCATCTGTTCTCTCTGTCCACAACAACTTCCTCTTTTTGCACAACACTTCTGTTCTTTATCTTACTGATTAATACATTTACAATCAAGTCATTTAAATAATTATTTTGTACATCACATTTCTTCCCAGTCATTGATGTGATTGTCCAATATTTCATCTGTCCATTTTCTGTTCTGTTGTCCCTCGTGGGGTCAGGAGGTGCTGGTGCCTCTGCAGCTGCGTTCCGGGCGAGAGGCTGGGTCACCCTGGACAGGTCACCAGTCTGTCTCAGGGCAACGCAGAGACAAACAGGACATCATTGTCCACTATTAATTCATTAAATTTGAAGCATTCAATTTACCAGAGTTATCAAAAATCATCTTTCTACTTGCAATTATATCATCAATATAGATGATCATAACTCCATCATAACTTTTCCATGTTTACAACTTCTTATGATTAGACATAGAAAAAGTTTAAAGCATATTTCATAAAAGAAAAGAGATTAGCACCTTTGTGGTTTGTACTCAAGTTGCATCCTCTTGGTTTTAGATGTTTCCTTGTGTTTCCAGGTTTAGCTTGACTTCTAAAAGCCTGATCATGGACTGGTTCTACAAACTAAACTTTTGTCTTAAACTGTTAATCTCTGTTAATCAGGGATTAACAGGATGCAAAAAAGTCTTGATGTGTAAGGACACTCAAAAATTCAACCACACAGGAAAACCCCCCCGAAAAAGTTTAATTCAATTTTTAAAGTCAGGTTGCTACTCAGGGTGAAGTCGTACAGTTCTGATTAAAAACAGAAGAAAACTGACCAGCAGAAGGGTTAAGAACAGCACAGAACTGAGCTGCAACATGCTTTAGCTTTAGCATGGAACCAGGGCCGTGCAGAGACGTTTGGAGGGCTGGGGGCTCAAAGCTTAAAAAGGGCACATTGAATAAGATCTTAAAATAATATAGCAGCAGCACATATTAATCAAGAATTTGATTGGATGCTGTAAAACCCATTCATTTGATAGACATGCTCTTTTTAGCATCAGTAAGTGATAGCTGTCCTATCACTTACTGATGCTAAGTGATTAGCCATCATGTATTATTGCCATCATGTGGGGACAATGCAAAGCAAATGTTAACTATCTTCCTCAAGAGACATAAAGTTTCTGTTTCCACTGCTGACAACTGTAACATTTTCATTTCTAATATTTACATGTAAATACAATTAAGCAACGCAACAGTTTTCCTCTAACATTTCTGATGTCAGCTTCTCCACACTTGTGCACATAAAGGGCCTGAACGCAGAAGCATGAAGCTCCACAGCATAAATGAAATCCAGGGTTGAAAGGTCATCCATAAATCTAGAAAACATTCAGGACAGCTATCACTTACTGATGCTAAAAAGAGCATGCTATCAAATGAATGTCATACATAAACATTAATATCTCTAATCTTGTTCTTTGTTTATCACAGGTAATATTACAAATCTACTAACTGGAGAAAGTCCTGTTCCATCAAACATTTTTCATAGATTTCCAGCAGGATTTCCCGTCTCCTCTGTGTCTTCTCTCTCCTCATTGGTCCAGTGCTGTTCTCTTATCTCGGTGATTATTGGCTCTATGCTTTAATTACGTCTCTAATACAAAATATTATCAGGAAAACTCTCCTTACTTAATGTAAATTTGAACTCTATATGAAGGAACACTTCATACTAATAGTGAATTTCTTTCTATGTTTATGTCGTAAAGCTGATGGCTGATGGTCCCCAGTGTCAGCAGGGGGCAAGCAGCATCATGTGTTGTGGAATGAAAATCTTACAAGCAGGAACCTGGAGGACAATTTACTACATTAGAGAGCACAGCGTGGGGAAGCATCACTACTGCACCCTGAAGCATGGGAGAGCAGAGAGGAAATCAGAGACAGAAGCACAGAGGATCTTGGAAGAAGCAGTCTGCTCTGTCTGGGACTGATACTTTTTGCCTCACCTGAAAGGTTCTGCAGCTCCTGCTGGTCCTCAGAATGTACTTATGGTGGTCCAAGTCACCAGACCAAGCCTTAACCAAATATCTATCTCTGTCTCTTTCTTTTTTATCCTTAAAGATTTTAATTTATACTCCACTGAATTGTTTTAATTCCTGTACATTTTAGTTTGTCCATCCTGACATCATATTAGTCCTGAAAGATTGAACTTTCTCACTACCTGAGAAGCGTTGTCTCCATCCACAGAGAGATGAGATGATTGTGTCTCCATTTGTGTTTTTTCATATCTTAAAAATCACAACCGTCAGAAACATTGTTTATATTATAGAGTTTAATTTGCAGCAGTGTTGTCTGAATTGCATTGAGGTTTGACTTTTACCCAGCAAACCTGTTTTAGATTTAGTATTAATCCTTAGCATTGTCTTATTCTTTTAGATCTTATCTTTTACGCAGCAGCCGCGTCTGACACCATACTGATGTTTTGTTCCTCAGAAATGTAAATTTGCCTCCTCCAGCATTTAGTCATTCATTAAGAGCAAAACAAGTCAGCATTTCCTGTCCATCCAGAAACCTTCACATCTAAAATAAAAAATCTGGCAGTGGGATAAAGAAAAGCCCCGGTGCAAGACGCTACCTAAGGCATCCTCAGACCTGCTAGAAAGCCACTGACTTCAACAAAAACCAGAGAAATGATGGTATCCAGTTCAGTTTTTCAAGATCCCAATCTAATCAGAGTCATCGCTTGACAAGTTGTAGGCAGGTCTAACCCACACTTGTCTGGAACTCACTCTTCTCTAATTCTGTCCGATCCAACTCCAGATGTTGAAGGTACTGGTTCCTCTTCATCCAGACACATATGCAAGGGGAATGATGAACTTGGAACTTTGCAGTATGTTGATGGTGACGGCCAAATGACAGGGGAAGACACAACAGGATCCTCACATTTTGTCCTTCGTGGACGACTGAGGACAGGGGACGAGAAAACGGGGTCTTCACTGACTAGGGGACTGACGGCCTGATCCGACTCAATGGGGCCTTCACATGGCATCTTGATGAGGGACTGAAGACAGGAGAGGACAGAACGGGATCCTCACATGGACACTGAGGTGAAAGACAGAAGCTATTGATCTACTCTTGGAAAACTCTCACCTTCCCTTCCTTATAGAGGAGAGATGAAAAACATCTGAATGAAGTCAGCTGACATTTTATCTTCCAACTGAATCACCAAACTGAAGGGAAGTTTGACACATTGTTTTATTGTAAGAAGGTAACATGTACTGAATACTTCCTGCTGCTCATCATCCACATGGCCCTCCCTGCTCACTTCACTTCCTAAGACATGTTGGATGATGCTTTATATATATATAAAAAAGAAAAGGTAATAAAATAGTGCAACTCTTAAACTTTGTTCATTGTCTTTATCTACATATAGACATTCAACAAATCACCTTCTAGTTTAGAATGAAGTCCAAACATCGAGAAGAAAGAACCGTACAAATATTCAAATGTCTTTAAAAAGCAGCTGATGTCGTCGCAGCAACACGTATCAAACCAGCAGATCTTCAATGGTGAAATAATCCCAGGAGATTACTGATCTGGACACTTTACACTGCAAAAACATTCAATCATACCAAGTACCTTTGGTCTAGTTTCTCGTGCAAATATCTTAGTTCAATCGAAATAAGACAAAACTAACTTAAAAACAAATTTCCATCAGTATATTGAAGCTTGTTTTGAGACAATAATTCCTTAATGTTGATGGAAAAAGTGGTAGATCCACTGGCAGATTATTTCACTTATAATATGGGAGAAACGTCTTATTAGAAGTGAAATAATCAACCAATGGAGCAAGTAGTTTTAAAAAAAATATGTATTTGTTTTATTAAATGAAGGAATTATTCACTTAAAACAAGCTCCTATAGCTTGCTGAAACGTTATGTTAGTCTTGTCTTACTTCATATATTCTAAGATGCTTGCTCTAAATCAGAGACCAAAATTACTAAATTATTGTAGTGTTTCTGCAGTGCAGGTCTGCACAGAAAGCAGGGAGTCAACAACAAATCAGCACCGACACTTTCAGAGCGTTCCTGTTGGAAAGACGCCGTTCACTCCAGTTGGCAAAAGAACAAGCAAGAAAACGGAGTTTTCAGTCCATTTGTTTTCTCCTTGCGACACATTTTCTCAGCACAAAATTGCACACCACTAAAAGCAAGTTTAATTCTGCTAAAACCTCCCCACATCCACCTGGAAAACACATTTGTGGGCTGATTGTGGAGGTTACGATGCGTCACGGAGGTCCTAACATGTTTCGGTGGAGGCAGTGTGATGGTGTGGGGCAGAGGGAGGCGTTTGGGATGAAGCCCATAATGCATTTCCCTTCCCAGTGTGGGGACGTTGAAGAGGAAATAAACAGGCTTTCAAGGGAATAAGATTTATTGCCAATAATCACTGGTACAATGAAATAGTTGACCAAACACAAATTTCCTTACTTGGGATGACAAGTTTCCCTCCTTCACTCTCCCTCCTTCCACTGCAAAAAACTCAAAGTGTTGCCAAGTATTTTTTGGTCGAGTTTCTAATGCAAACATCTTTAAATGAGAAAAAACTAACTTACAAACTTTTCAACAAGATACAGATGTTGCTTTGAGCTACTAATTTCTTAATATCGATTCTTAAAATGTGATAGTTCCACCGGCAGATTGTTTCACTTTTAACATCTGAAAAAATATCTTTTTATAGTATAATCTGTCATGAGAACTAGGATTTTCTTTTATCAATATTAAGAAATTAGGGGCTTAAAACAAGCTCTTATATCCACCTGAGAAGTTACGTTTCAGTGAACTTATCTCAGCTCTACTAAGATATTTGCACTAGAAACTAAACCAAAATTTTAAAAAATTTAAAAAACTGCCTTGTATTTGCTTTGTGTTTTTGCAGTCTTCTCCTGGGCTGACTTTTTTTACGTTTTTTCAAAGTTCATGTAAACAGTGAGGGAGGAGAAGCTGCTGATTGGTCAACGTACATCTTCTGAGTGGGGGTTGCCACGGTGATGTTTGGTGCAACACTTTAAATCTGACTCTTAACAACTTTGTGTTGCTTGCTGCTATTTACAAAACAATATGTACAGCTAAAGCCACAATTATCCATCCCCGCGGTCGACTTGGATTTGAACGGAGGCTTTTAATTTGACCAAAATGTTTCTGCTGAACCTCAACGTTTTCCAGCAGCCCAAACCGGACAGGATAAACCATCAAAATAAAAAGAGTTTTCAACTTTAGCATAACATTTTAATATGTGAATAAAAACAAATCAGTTTTGTTTCAACATCTCAAAATAAATGCTCCCTTCATCCCTTTGCTCTGTCCTGGTTGAAGAGCTGCCCCGCCTCCTTCCCTGACACCAGCATCTTTGTTGAGCGAGATTTAAATCTAACTCTGCTGGGGGTGTGAATAACTTAAAATTTAACGGTACGTTCCAAAACAAACATCAGATGTTCTGGCAAACACTTGAGATAGATTTGCTATGTAGTAAAAAAAAAAAAGACACATGTGGATGAGAAGAAAACCAAACATTCCTGGTTTTGTGGGGAAATTGGACTCTGAGGAACTCTGATGTCTTTCTGGACATCTTATGTGAATACTGTAAGTTTACTAGTTTAGAGAGTAATCCTATTAGCGTAAAAACTGAGCCTGTGGAGGTATACTGCGGCCGGTGAAGTCTGTCAAAATCTGGCCCATTCACTTTTATGCTGTTTCTTTTTTCTGAAAAATAATTTATTTCAGAAACAAAAATAAAAGCAACACAAGCCGAACTGCAGACAGCGAGCAACAGAGTCAGGACAAAACCAAGCAAACGAACCTTTTTCATCTTTTCTGAACATAAAGTGAAGGTGTGAAGTAGCTGCACCAAAGACCAACAACAGAAGAGTAGAAGAAATGAAATGTGCTAACATACATATATGTATATATATAAAACATATATATATATGCATATTTATAAATGACCTGAAGATCAGCAGCTTCACCTTGGCTCTTTGAACACAGCGAGATGAAGACCTTGACATTTTCCTACAGGAGTTGGGGGTTTGCACCGACGTCCCCCTGTGTTGTTCTGAAACTGACATTCATAGAGAAGCGCCGGTTGGCTCCTATCAGCTGGGTTTGAAGGGAGGCACTGCAGATTCCAGCTGTCCATCACTCCCTGACAGTTTGTTCTGAGGAGGTTCTGCTCAGTCCTGGGTCTGTTGGGCCGGTCTGTCCCCGTCTGAAGCCTCGATCCCCAGCAGGGCCTGCACCGCCTCCAGGGGAACTCCCTCTGGGGTCTGGATGTGCATGGTGGTTCCGTCCGGCCCGTTGACGATGACGATCCCGTCCGACCCCGGCTCGGCCAGCTGAACCGTCAGTCCCTCTGTCTGGATGTAGATCTCCTGGCCCGCCTGCAGCTCTTTGGGCTGTGAGGAGGAGTCACAGGGCTGAGCGGAGGCCGGTGGTAGGGCGGGGCTGGGGGCGGGGCCAGTCTCCGCCCTCTTTTTGTCTGTGGTGCTGGTGGCACAAGAACTGAGAGCAGAATCTGGTTGGGTCATCTGGACTGTGGCGTCATTTACGTCCTGGACCGTGGTGTCGGCCCCGTTTACATCCTGGACAGTGGCGTCGGCCATGTTTGTGTCCTGGACCGTGACGTCGGCCATGTTTGTGTCCTGGACAGTGGCGTCGGCCATGTTTACGTCCTGGACAGTGACGTCGGCCATGTTTACGTCCTGGACCGTGACGTCAGCCATGTTAACGTTCTGGACCGTGGCATTGGCCCTGTTAACGTTCTGGACCGTGACGTCAGCCATGTTTACGTCCTGGACCGTGGTGTCGGACCCGTTTACATCCTGGACCGTGGCTTCGGCCCTGTTTACATCCTGGACCGCGCCGTCGGCCATGTTTGTGTCCTGCTTCGAGGCCGACGGCCCCTCCTTCTGCTCCTGCGAAGGGCCAGCAGGAAGTCCAGCCAGGCTGGGAGTTGGGTCAGGAGAGGCGATGGTGGAGGAGCTGCAGGTCACGACAAACACATTCAGACTATCAGCTCCACAAATTAGGGTCAGCTGACAAACACCAACTGATGTTATTACTCTGCTGCGCTACCATGGGAACAAGGTTTATTTTATAGCTAAGAAATATAGAAAAGCACCACAATCTGACTACGATGTTCTCTGTCAACTGTAAGGGACTCCTCTCTGTTCTGGAGCTGAGAATAAAGTTGCATGTAGGTCTGATGCAATAATCAATGAATCGCATAATTCATTGTGATTCATTGATTCACAATGAATCAATGAATCGCAATGATTTAATGATTTCCCTTTTCCTTATTTCTCATATGTCTCTTTTCTCTTTCTACCAAAAATTGGATGATAAAAGTCTTCAGTCTGGTACTTTGGTCTCAACTGGCTCTTATATTGAAAGACATTTTATTTACAGCGATTTTAGAATTCATTTTTTGTTTTTATTTGTTGTTTCTGTCGTTTTGTTTATTTTGAATATTTAACATGTCATCCAGTTCCAGTGTTGAAAAGTTTTTGGTCTCTCAAAATGTCCTTGCATTATTATGCCATTAGATTATGTTACTAGAAATGGTCTCAAAACAACAATATCATCATTTATCATGAAAACGTCTGGGACAATTTATCATCCAGAAAAGTGTTATTGTGTCAGGGCTAGTCGCTGTAAACCAGATCCATCACCTGCAAAACTTTCAGAACCCAAGAACTTTTTTATAACGTCAACATATAGTTAGGGCTGAAACAATGAATTTGATTCGTTCTGATGAATTGATTATTGAAGTAATCGTCAACTAATTTAGTAATCAATAAATCATTAAGTGGAGTGTACGGACCTACAGAAAAGGCCATTTGGTGAAAAAAACAAGTCATAGCCGTAATTATGCAAAAACTAAAATGAAAGAATCAAAGTAAAACTTTGATTCTTTATGTTATTGATGAAGGAATATTATAACATGATGAAAATCTCAAAAAGTTGATTTTACATAATACTGCCCCTTTAAGGAAATCTTCATCCCCAAGTGGAGGAGTTCAAATATCTTGGGATCTTGTTTTTCTTGAATGAGGGAAACATGGAGCAGGAGATCCGACAGGCGGATTGGTGCAGCGTCTGCAGTGAAACGGCTGCTGTACCGCTCTGTTGTGGTAAAGAGAGAGCTGAGACAAAAAGCAAAGCTCTTGATTTACCACTCGATCTACGTTCCTACCCTCATCTACGGTCATGACCTTTGGGTCAGGTCTGAAAGAACGAGGTCACGGATACAAGAGGCCAAAATGAGTTTTTGCTGTAGGGCGTCTGGACTCTCCATTACAGATAGGGAGAGAAGCTCAGATCTTTCTCAACCCCTCACCATGCCAACACACACACACACACACACACACACACACACACACACACACACCACACACACACACACACACACACACACACACACACACACACACACACACACACACACACACACACACACACACACACACACACACACACAATGGATGTTGACATTGTCCATTACTGACATTTCATCGTTGCTGTTGTCATTTTGTTTTAAAAATGTTCTGCAAATTGTTCTAAAACCAATTCAAAAAGGGAAAAATGAAAATATTTCAAACATGAAATAAATCTTGTGTGAACTAAAACACAGTAGGAAGCCCACACATCCAGCGAGGTGGGCCCGGCTCACCTGGAGGTAGGTTCAGCAGAAGCGCTCAGCACTTTGGCTCCACCTGAAATCTCCAGGGGAGACACAGACACGGAGCACGACTTGACAAGAGAGGCTGCCTGGGTGGCCGAGGCCACTGGAGCAGCAGCTGGGAAACAAAGTGACAGACATGACAGTCACATGACCCCACATACTGACCCAAACAGCTACAATACTCAAATGCTGAATAGTCTATGTCTTATGGCAGTTTATCAAATCCAGATACAGCACTTCCTGTGGGAGAGAGCAGCTGAAAAGCTGCTGAGGAACTTTTTACAGGATTTGTAGAAGCTGAGGTATCAACAAGTTGTATCAAAACAGGGAACTAAACATGCTAACATCATGCTAGTTCTAAAACAACAACAAAACTCAGCATAAAAACCATTTTGTCAACAAATGGTAACACATGGTAAAGTTGTGCACTCTCACTAATGTTCAACCTTAATATGCTATTCAAGGTTTCGCTCAGTGTATCATGAGCCTGGCGGGCCTCCAGGTTTTACTTACACCCCACCAGGCTAAACATTGTTTGTTAATTTATTCTAGGTTTTTTTACACACCATTAACAGAGAGAGCAAAAATAGCTTAGAATTCTCTTTGGTGAAATGATTGGAAGCACAATAGCCACACAGTACAGTAAGAATGTCAACACAGAGAGACTGAGGCCAAGGTGTATTTTTTTTTTTATACACCAAGCCTCCGTAACCACTTCCTGTCTCTACCGGTACGCATGCTAACAACTTTAGCAAATAATGTGAAAAGTCACAGATAAAGGACTAAAAAAAATGTTTGGACACTTTAATTATGATGGAACAAATGAAGTGAAAAAAAAAAGAAGTTTATTTTAATTTCACTTTTTTAAGACTTTACAGTTTGTTTTTTGTTATTGTTAATAATGTCCTCCATTAACACATAATTACCAAGTGATATTTTCAAATTACCTGTCAACTTCAAAAAATTTGAACTGAACAACATGGTGGGCTGTTAGATGGCTGTCCTATCACCCTTGCTACTGGGCTTAGAGTTTTCTAGGAGAAACCCTGACATACGTGTTATAATTAAACATACAACTTTTGTATGTTTAATGTTGTCATTAAACATACAACTACCTGTTTTTGGTGCTTCTGTGCCATTTTGATGATCTGCAATGCTGTTTTCCATCTTAAATCTTTTAGATGGTGGCAACATCTTGGAGTTCTGAAAAAAAAAAAGATTAATTTAAACTACTGTTAGTTCAAATATTTTAAAGCAGCCTTTTCTCATTGTTAACAGCAGTAAGTTCTGTAAGAAAAACCCTAAAACTCAGATCGTTTCTGGCTACATGCTTACCCCCATGTACCGGACGTTCTTGTTGTTCCCACTAGAGACAGGCAACGCTCCAGGAAGCACCTTCATCTTGTTCACCTCGTCCAGGATCCCTAGAGACCGAGCCACCTGAAACAGGAGTCCAGGACGGGACAGAGAACCTGTCGCATCACCTGCTGCTCAACGGTTCCAGTCTTCAGGTGCATGGAGAAGCAACATATGGTCTCACCTCAATGTTCCTGACCTCCACAGGCATGGCTCCACCCTGCGGACTTACGATGTATTCCTGTGCGGTCTGCCTGACTTGAGCATGCAGAGATTCAAACTCATGGTAAATGTCTGGAAAGCAGCTACAAGCCGACCCCTTGCAGTCCAGCTGAAAGAGATGGAGGGCAAACGTTAGAAATCATTTTTAAAGAACCTTAGAGGTTCTTTAAAGGTAGGTCCTGGCCTGCCTACCTTCTACTGTATTCAAATATTAATGCAGTCAACTACAAGTCACAAAGAGGAGCAGTGATCCTTGCTCGGTTTGTAAGACAACAGAAATATGTAGGAAATGTATTATGGTTCTTCCATTTCGCCAGTAGCTCCTTCTGAGTTTGGTTTTCTTTGAGGTTTCTTCTCATTAAATAAATGTTCCTTTTCAATGTATGTTGCAAAGCATGCAGTCATAAAGAATAGCAAAAGATATATGTATTAAATATATGTCTGGAAAAAACTAAATTCAAAGAGACACCAAAAATTGAAATTGTTTTACTCATTAAGCAAAGAATATTGACATAAATGTGTGATTTAGGACAAGAACCACTGAAGGAAGCAACATGAAAACCTCTGAAGAAAACAACTTCCTTCTTCAACGATAATTCTTTTCTCTGGTGGGTCTTGTCCCTTTATATAACTTTAATGTCTGAGAGACTTACTGATGAATATTCATATGTCAGAATTGTATCAGTGAACAATTTTACAATGAACTTTGGGTGCAGTTTTCCAGACAAAAACAATGTCTCAGTAAAGTTAATTAAAAGCTAAAATAAATATAAAAATAGACACGGTTAAATTGACCACTTAGCAGCAGTCAGCATGGTGATGGAAACAAAAACAAACAGGCCAATGTGTTTTTTTTTTTTTTCACCTTCGCCAGCAGCAACTCCCACAGATTTAACATTTTGGTCAACCGAGGAAGAACAGCATCCATCAGTTCTTCATCTTCACACTGCTCCACCAGCTGGAAGCAACACAAAGCGGACACAGAAACACGAGTTACACAGCGGAGACAGGTCAGTCCCGTCCTGGAGTGGGACAGCGCTCCGTCCTCTGACCTCCTGCAGCCGCTGGCGTCTCCTCTCTGCCTGCTGCCGCGCCGTCATTGGAATGACCCCGAGCTTTGGGGGTCGCCCACGACGACCAGGTCTGCCCACGAGACCAATGCTCACCTGAGAGAATCAACCAACCAGGTTAAGGAAGATGCACAGATCTGATGACAACATCTGTATTGGTGCTGATACTGGTGCTAGAATGTAGTCCATTCTAGATGGGCTACAGGTGAAAAAGTGTCCAGTCTATAAAGGCAGATCTATTCAGTCTAGTTCTTTGCTTTGTGCTCAGAATGACATCATGCTTTATTATTTATTTTACAACATATTTAGAATTTTTAATTGCTCTTTCTGAACCATTTGAAAGGCTATTTTTTTACACGTTTGACCAAAATAGTCAACTTGTTGTTTTAGTCAGTTCCAGTTTCATTACTTTTTTTCCATTGACTGTTCTACTCCTAACAGCACAAATAAAAGTTGTGTTCATATGTATTTCAGTGAGCTGCACTGGTGCAGAGTTAGCAAATTCATTTGTAATTCAGTACATTTATGTCTGTGTTTAGAAAATATACTTTCGAAGTGAATTCAGCTGTTGTTCTGTATCGGATCGGTATCGGGCGATACTAAACCTCAGATATTAGTATCAGAGATTTTAATGATGTGAGAAAATATTCTGGAAGATCAATAACCTTTAAATTATAATCAATATTTAACACTGGAACAGGAAGACATTTCAAATATACAGTATAAAGAGAAACTGAGGTTGGATGAAGCTTGGCTTAAAGCAAACTGACCTTAGGAGGAGGTCCAAGCGATCGACCTCGCCCCCTGCCTCTTCCTCTTCCTCTGCCCCTCCCTCGCCCTCTTCCTCTCCCTCGCCCTCTGGGGCGACCCGGACCTCGGTAATGGAGGCCGGTGATTCCTTCAGCTGCCAGGCCGTTGTCTCCCTGAAGACAAGCAGAGTGAGGCTTTAGAGGCAGAGCCCAGCAAAACCCATACATTCTGCAGAGTCTTCATTTCACTACTCAAGCTTATTTTATGCGATATTATGAACACATTCAAAAGTCTAAAGAAATAAATAATCCAATTCCTATTTTAAATTTATGAAAAAAATTGACATTTTATTGCTTAAAATGCAATAAGGTAGGGTTACTTTTAGGGCTGCGCCGTCGGCAGTTTTCTGGCTGATCACCGATTACCAATCTTTTAAAAGCCTGACCTGCTGATTCCAATTATGGATGATGCCAAATTTTTGATCTGAAATGTTGCTTAATACAGCAAGAAAGTCACTGAGTTGACAACAGTGGGTGACGACTGTTAACTGTAGAGGTGCAGAGATGAGCTGATGGGCCGGTCCGTCAGTCAAGCCTTTCTCATGAGAGAGAAGATCGGCTTAACATTTAAAAATCGGCTGATCAATGATCTCCCAAAATTAAGAAAATCGGCACAGATATATCGGTACACTCCTCGTTACTTTATCAGTGTATCAAAGGATGTGTCTGCTAGTAAATAAATTACTTCTAAAATCAACATGGGAAGAGCTCAGCCTTTTCTGCTGGACTCAACATGAATACAGCGCAAGGCTGACGGCTGATCATTGTTTGGGTTAACCAATTAACAGCTGCATAGCAAAAGATGCTTAATAGGAGACTTTTTTCAGACAAAGTTTATTTTTTTTTAATCTTAAATATAAAACATATAATTTGTTGATTATTTTTTGTATTAATAATTTAGAACAGATTTACTGACAAATAGTTTTTTTTATCTTAAATGCAAAATGTTTATATTTTTAGCTTAACCTTTTTGTTCTGACTGTGTTGCTACTTCAGTAAATGCCGTTTTGTTATGTCTGTATACTCCAGGTAATGATTAATCGATCACTAAATTAGGTGATGATTATTTCAACAATTGATTAATCATTGGTATTTTGATTAATTGTTTCAACTGAGCAGTCTGAAGTCAAAACCTAAACTCAGAGCTGAAATCACGTAGATCTCAGCTCTGACAGGTAAAATGGTGTCTCACACTGTTTGTTGTCATGGCAGCAGGTTTCTCCTCCTGTTCCTCCTCTTGCTCTTCTTCCTCTTCCTCCTCCTCCTCCTCAGTGACAGCCTCCTCTACCTTCGGGTCCGCTCTGCTCTGGCCGGGTTCTGGTGCGCTGCTGGCTGTGACCATGGTGAGGTCGGGCTCTCCGTGGGTGGGGTTCAGCTTGTAGTGCCGGTTCAGGCCACCGGGGCCGATGTAGGCCTTATCGCAGGTCTGGCAGCGGTGGCAGCGCGACTTGAGGCTGTAGCTGAGAGACGAGGGGCTGCTGGAGCCCGGCCCGTCCCGCTTGGCGTTCTCCTCCTCCTCCACGCTCATGTCGGAGTAATCGTCTGAGTCGGACTGGTGGCTCTCCGCCAGATCCTCCGTCTTGATGAACTTGTAGTCTTTAGCTTTGTACTTGGGTGGCCTTGACACCCGACCCGATCGGGTTTGGACCTTCAGGGCTTTCCTCTCTCTTTTCTTTGCTTTCTTCTTCTCCTCTTTTTCTCGAACTCTTTCCTTGACGACAGAGGATGACGTTGCCGTGGGAAGCCTGGGGCTGACGGCGAGGGAGGCGGGTTGCCGTGGAGACACAGGGATGACCGGGGTCACTTTAACTGGGACTTTCCCAGCAGCAGCAGCAGCAGCAGCAGCAGCAGCAGCGGTCGGTTCCGTCCCGTTGTGCTGCGTCTTAATCAGAGGAATGCTGATGGTTTTAGAGACGGGAACAGCAGGGGGCTTGCTGCTGGGAGGGGGCGTGTCTTTAACCGGGGTGGCAGCTGCCACTCTGATGGTAGGCGGGGCAGGTTTCTGTCCCAGACTGGAGGAAGCAGTTGCTATGGTTGCGGGACCAGTCACCTTGTGGACCAAGGGGAGCAGAGAGCCCACCACTGGAGTGGCGTTCTGCAGCACCAGCTGGATCTGGGGTTCTCCTGGGTTCTGCTGCAGCAGGATCTGCTGACCCTGCTGACCCACCACAGGCTGCAGGTGGATGATCTGCGCGTTGCCCAGGCCGCCGGCGGCAGACAGCTTCACCTGCGGGTGGCTGATAGTCACAGTCTTCTGCTGCAGACTCACACAAGAATTCAGGTCCTGTTTGGGAGGAACTTGGATCTGGATTCTCGTCGGTTCTGCCTGGAAAGACAAAAAAGAAAACAAGTAGCTAATTCAAATTTTATTTCAGAAATTGTAAACCTCTCCAGATAACGGGGCAGAGGTGTGAGGATAGAAACCAAACTGAACAACTGCAGCATGTCTCCTTTCACTCGCAGTGTGGACAGCCATCAAATCCCAACATATAACATTATTATGGAAGAGGCTTAAGGCCACTGAAAAAGAAAAAGTTAATGTGTAGCAAAAGATAAACATGGTCAGAGAATTAAACTGATATGTTTTCAATTGATCTTGTTCACAAAAATGCGAGGATTAGGATCGCTGGAAAAAATGATTTGAACTTTCTGAAGACAAGGAAAAGAAAAGTCAGAATTTTGAGAAAAAAATACTGAGAGTAATGTCAAAATTTTATTTAAAAGAAAATAACTTTTGAGCACGAGCAAATTGAGCAAGAAAAATTCAATATAAAACAGAATTTTGAGAAATTTGAATTTTGGAGAAAAGTGAGAATTTAAAACAAAATGTATTTTGTTCATTTCTATTGCAGATATTTGTAATACAGTATATTTATAGAATGTTTGTTGTTCCTGTGTCCAATCGTTTGGTTTCTACATCCTGTATGTTCTGTACTTTGCTTTTGGATCACACTTCAGTCCCTGTTGTGTAGAAAAAACATCTGATGATATGAGTGAATGTTGCAATAACAATATAATTTGCAATAAATGACCAACTCAGTAAACAGACCACAAACTATAGAAACATTGGATGAAAAGTTGATCTTCCTGCACTGAAACAACTTAATTGTAGTTTCTTAACTTTGCTGGTGTTGCTCAGGCAACCATTGCTGACAGAAAGGTGAAGAGAAAAGAAGAAGAATGAACTGTGAGGTGAAACGATCCTGAGCCAGTCCAGCATTCAGGACCAGAAAGCTTCACAACTACCAACAATAGAAAACGCTGCAAAACGTGCAGGATTTCAAAATTATTTTTTGAAATATTTCAAATCACATTTTAAGATATCAGAATTGAGCGATGTGAGACATGATCAAAACAAAAAACTCATCATGAGTTAGGAACAAAACAATTGGGGAAAGATCCTCTTATTCCGTTATTGTCTTTGGTTGATCAGCTTTGAAACCAAAACAATCTGCAGCATTTATTTATCTTTTATATTACTAATAAAATAAAAGAAAGGAGAAATCGGTCCCAAAAAAAAATGCCCGTTTCTCTTAAAGACACACTTTCTGTTTTTAATAAAACTACAATCTATTTCATTTGCATTTATTTTGGTTTCAGATGAGAAGTAAAATGTTTCCTATGGCAAACAATGAAAGTGATTTGGTAGAACAAGGCCAGTGCATACCAACTAAAGGCATGCATGATGCACTTTTTGAGTTTAATTAAAAAAATAAATAAATATTTTGATGCATAATCTTGTGATGTCTCTATTGTGTTGGTAGAAAACTATTTTATCTATCAAACAACCCGCAGTATAGATATTTTTTTTCTGCCATTGTCCTTGAAAAAAACTATTCTAAATTGTAAAGAATCAGAATGACCTCAAGACTGAACAGAAATCGGTACCAGCCATGAAATCCAGATCAGTGCATCTCTACTGACTTCTATGTGATTCCTGGTTCAGATTCCTGGTCGGCTGCAGAATGAATCAATCCTTCATATCTAACTCACCTGGATTAAAGTGTTGGACTGCAAAGCGACCTGTTGGGCCACACTTTTCAGCTGAGTGGAAGCATTATTCTGAGGGCTGATCTTTAGGTTCTGTGGGGAAAGCTGGACCTGCTTCTGCTGACCCTTCACATGCTGCAGGTTCTCCTGAGACACCTGGACCTGGTTCTGGGACTTGGTGACCTGGTTAATGACCTGCTGCAGTTGACTCGGATCCAGAGCCGTCTTTTGGACCGGGGCCGGTTTGACCAGCTGGCTGTGCTGGAGCAGCTGGACGGCCTCGGTGTCGGAGACCTGCACGATCTGCTGCTTGGTGAGCTGCTGCAGCACCGCTTGCTGCTCTTCCGCCGTCAGCCCGGAGCTCTCCACCAGGCTGCCGTCAGGCTGCACGTAGATGATGGTGGTGTTGGCCAGGTCGGCAAACTCTGCGTCCACCACCATGCGCTGCTCCACCTGGCAGGTTTCTACTCCACTCGGGGGCTGACTGCCATCCGCACAGGACCCGGACTCTGCACTCTCTGCAGGCTGATCGCACTGGGCGATGAGGAAAGTCGATCCTTTCTCTTCGGGCTGTAAGATCTGGACGGCAGGCTGGACTGATAAAGGCTCCACGGGCTGCGGGTCTGGCTGAACGGCGGACTCAGACTCTGTCCCCGGCGGCTCAGCCACTGTTATTGTTCCAATAGCTCCGCTGTCACCCTCGTTGTCCGCCATTTTAGCTTTGGGGTTAACAGTTAGCTTTGACTAGGGGCCTTGGTGCTGTTTACCGTATCTCCAGAAGATATCGCTAAATAAAAAGTTCTTTATAAAACCAGCGTGCGCTGGTAGATAAAACTATCCGCGGGAATGAATGGCGACATTTAGGGCAGCGGGAAAATCGCTGGAAGGCAAGTGTTAGCGGGAGGAGTTTTGAACTAGCCTAGCTTAACCCTCCGCGGCAGCGGTAGTGCATATAACCCGGACTGAACTACTACCAACGGACCGGATTCACAAGATTTTCTCTGAATTATGGCATGAAAAAATAATTATTTGTGCTATAATGACATTAATCATATCATTATAATTGTAACAATTATTTGAATATGAAATAAAAATAATATTAACAACTATAATAATAATAATAATAATTATTATTATTATTATTATTATTATTATTATATTATTTTATTATTATTATTATTATTATTATTATAACCTCCCGACCCCGTTAGGGAGAAGGGTGCTCGGAAAATGGATGGATGGATGGATTATTATTATATAGTTGAAATTCAGATATTGCTCCTGAAGTGTCTGAGCCTGACATAACTCTAAGATTTTTACACTAGTAATGTAAGTTATCTTTCCACTTTCTAAATATTTAAATAATAATAACTAAATGATACAGAAACAAAGCCACATTAATTAAACAGTAAGAACAAGAACATCTCAATCCTATGGTGTCTGTCCATTCATTTCATTTGTTATAAATCTGATTAAAAACATGTTTGAATTGTCGGAACAGTGTGAGAGTTTTTCCATTTAAATCACATCCAGTGTTACTTTGCAGGATCGAGTCGTGCCTCAGCTTTTAGTTTGCTTTGTAGATGGTCTCATATTTTCCTCAGCTTCCCTCTAACGTGTTTGCTTCTCTAGTGGTGAGCTAACCAGGTGTGACTGCAGTAAATCATCACCAAACCATGACACTACCAAGAAGGTAGAATGTAGATAAATATGGCAGAAATGTTTGAGGTTGGTTTCAGGGGACAGCGGTGAGGAGCGATATACAGGTTCAGTGTGGAACTGTGGGTAGAGTTTAAATGTAATCCAGTTTCCTGGTTTTCCGATTATCCTTTCCGAACGACGTCATTCATTTTCTAAATTCTATGACAATGATGGGAAAAATAGCAATAAAAAATAAACGAATAAATAAAAATATATAAGAAAGAGCAGACCCGTTTCTTAGATAAACTGTTTGACAATTTGAAAGATGGAATCTACAAAAAATAAAGCGGAGCGGAGAGGTGGACGTTTTGCCGTGTGGCCTGGAGGAGGCGTAGTTTGACGGTCTCGTTCAGATAGCTCCTGTAAATGCTGGGCGATGGCACCTGTCCGCACTTTGAAATAAAGTCGAAGCAGGATTACAAGGATCAACATCTGGATCCGTCCTTCGCCAGGCTGAAACCCAGTAGGTACCGGGCTCTTTCTTCTCCTGCTGTCATTATTCTGCCCTGTTTACTGGAGTTGCTGCTTCAGATGATGCTAGCTAGCCGTCGTTAGCAGCTTTATGAACAGCACCATGTTTGTTTGTTTTTTTAAAATATATTTGTTATTGCGTCACTTTCTTTTTTGTATTCATTGTGAATAACCGTATTGTCCTGCAGCGCTTAGAGCTCATATTACCCTGTCAGGGCGCCGCAAGGACAGTCCACAGTTCACCCCATCACACATGTAAACACTCCAATATCTGCTCTGGAATATTCTAATATTCGACTCACTGTCGTGCTATTATCTCACAGCAAATAGGACTGTGTGGTTCGGGATGTGCCGAAGTGATTGTTGTTCATATTTAATTAAGCCTGCACATTTCTGGGGTTTATTTTCATCAGAACTGGTCGTTAACGCCCCCCGTGTTATGCTGCATTCCGTTTACCTCGGAAAACGGAACTCGGGTCTCGGTGTTCCTTCAGACCGGATGTCTTTGGTTCAGCTGAACGTCTGGAAAGTTTTGGGATTTATTCACCATAACGAGCCGGGAGCTGTTTATTCCTGGGCTCATAGCATTTCAGGAGTGACTGATGTAATGATATTTAAACATACAAACTACCAGAGTGCAAATATTCTTACTGCTGTTATGGCTTCCTTTCATGCGGCAGCCATGTTGAATTGTTTTGTTGGGGAACCCTCCACTTTCCCAACAACTATTGATTCAGGGATTCTTCTCCTTGATTTTTCATTCGAATCTGGACATTTCAACTCCAAGGAACCATTACAAGAATGGAATCTGATGCTGAGAACAGAGATCCTAATTACACATGAATTTCCACTGTCCATTCATATGAAATTAATTTAACTGTATTCAGGAAAATAGCTGCACTTTAAACCCGATTGCCTGATTTTTTCTTTTAGTACTGTAGAATGTTTAGTTTTCTCTCTGCAATGTAAAACATGACATTGACCAGTACAGATATACATATTCAAAAAGTTTCAGTTTGTCACAGGACTGAAAATGATGACACGATAATCTGGTTCCAATTTTATTTTTGCTCAGTTCTCTAACAGTACTGATACAATGCAAGTAAAAATATGTTTTACTCTTTTTATCGCTTTTACAAATTAATCATAATTTAGATTTTTTGGCAAACAACAACCCCTCAACCCTCGAACATCAACGGAAAAGTTGATTTCTAAACTAATTATAATCATTAAATACAAATATGAAATGTAACATGTGTGCATAGATGTGTATCTCCTTATAGTGAATATTTAGTAGTGATAAAAGAGATTTGACACCTCAATAAATATTGAGGCAATGAGCTGGATGCAGTAGGCATGAGGTGGTGGAGATGGAGAGAAGGCAATAGAGCATGATGGTTGCATATAATGGACAGAAACCCGGAGGAGAGCTGGATCTGCCTTGGTGTGCTGGGAGTTAAGAGGTGTGGAGAGAGATGATGCAGACAAACACATTAAGTACTGGACCAACCACACTTCCTGTGGCAAAACTCCTGAAGGACACAGAGGATTGGTGCATACAAAACCTCAAAATATCTTTAGTTTCATTGATTAATTCCAGGGCCTTCAGATTTTATCTTACAATTTGAACCAAGGAGTAAAATAATTTAATGGATCAGTAACAAAAGTGTCATTGTATGGGACACACCCAGCAAACAGATCTGACCTGCCTCAGTGTCTCTCTGAAAGACCCTCCAGGACACCTGGTGGCTGTCCTGCAGTGATCCAGGCAGAGACCCAACGTCTCTCGAGAGATCATTAGACGGCTGGTCACCAACATTTCCCAAACTGAGAGCTGACAGATTCTGCAGAAAGGCCTGCATGAAACTCCCCACAGATATCCAGTCATCACATTCAACAAGACTTGAGGCTGTAATTGCCGCCAAAGGTGGATCAATTGTTAAATAAAGGCTGTGATTTACATGTCAGGTTTTTTCATTTTATGATTATGGGGCATTGTGTTGTAGAGTTTTCTTAAAGAGGCAGTATTATGTGTTTTCCAGGCATATAGTGCCATATTATAACACAATCAAATAAGAATGTTACCCTCAGTTAAAGAAATGTATATCAAATTTCACTTAAAAGAAATTTGACTTTGTAATTTAACACCTTGAAATTGGGCCTCTGTCTCTTTAAGAAAGTCATCACAACATGGCTCCTCTACTAACCCATTAACAACATTCATTTTGCACAGCTGAATGGTTACCATGTAAGACTTGAGGATTTCTCAAACATGCGTAAAAGATTCAAGGCGACATTCCAGGTTTGCTTTTTATGAGGGATTAATATATAACATGACATAAAGCTCAAAAAAGTTGATTTTACACAATACTGCCCCTTTAAGGGAAAATGAATTGAATCAGTCTGTGAAACACTATGATGACTTCCTGGATGATTGAGACATGTCAGAATTTGGTTATTGGTTTTTATTTGACGGTTTGTAAAATCTCAACTGTTAACTTGGTCTCATGTTGCTCTGAGATCCTTCTGAAGGGGCCAGTAATAAATATTACTGAAGAAAAAAATCTTAAGCAGATTTTATGTTTTGATGTGTAAGAACTGTGTACTGACTGACAGCATCAATAACCATCAGGTTTTTGTGATTAGGTCTGAAATGATTATCAGGATCTGCTGAGTCATCCCCAGGGAGAAGAACCATGACAACGCAGCCAGCTTCAGCTTCCCTCCTGAGGGAGTTCTGTCCGCTGTACTACCTGCTGAATGCTATCCCTGCCAAGGTACCGACCCAAAACTCACAGATGCCAAAGCAGGGTATCAGTATGACGGCTGAACGTCTGCTCAATTCCTCTTCAATTTTACATGATGCCTTAAAATTTATTCACAGCTCAACTGAAGTTTAAATTAAAATTCAAAAACACTTTACACTGTGTTTATAAATTATTATGCAAATTGGATTTAAGTGTGATAAAGATACATTTTCTTGTGGTATTACAATTATAGATGGTATTGTGAGTCAGGGCTCTTTGAATCACTATAATTAATTTCAGAGCTGGTTGATTAGTTTGTCTGAGCTCAATTGAAGGAAATCTATTGAAGAAGGATGTTGCACATTATTAAGCAGGCCACAGGTTTCGAGCAATATGGGAAAGAGAAAGAATCTCTGCTGATGAAAATCATCAGATAGTGTAGTGCTGTATGACAGGATATGACATCATTAAATATTTAACTAAAACTGAAGTGTTATCATCGTACTGTGAAAAGATTTGTGACTGATTCAGAACAAAGATGGTTTGTAAAGATAAAGGCATAATGGAGGATCCTCAAAGTGGAGGATCTCCAGAGGCTTGTGGTGCATGAATCTCGTATTGGGCCCCTAACCAGAGCTCACAAGCAGAGCTGGTCGGGCCCTTCAGAGTCCCTGAAGGAGTGAAAATGACCTCAGCAAAGTATATGGATTTTCTGACCAGTCACTTTCTTTCATGGTTCAAAAAGAAGAGCAAGACCTTCAGTAGCAAAATCATCTTCATGGATGACAATGAATGCTGCCAGGAATACCACTGTGTCATTGGCTGCTGTGGGCATAAAAGGGGAAAAACTCATGGTGTGGTCACCATCCTCCTCTGACCTCTGACCCTATTGAGAACCTTTGGAGTTTCCTCAAGCAGAAGATCTGAGGGTGGGATGCAGTTCATATCAAAACAGCAGCTCTGGGAAGGTTTTCTGACATCCTGCAAAGAAATTCAAGCAGAAACAAACT